TAAGATACCATATAATATAATAATTATATCATATCATGCATTGTAATATACCATAAAATATCGTATCATATTGTATCATATATTGTAACATACCATAAAATATCATATGTATCATATATTGTAACATACCATAAAATATCGTATCGTATTGTATTGTATAATATTATAATTTTTTCTATCAGCTTGTAGTAAAAGTTTGTAAAAAAATTCAGGTCATTTAAATCTACCAATACAACATTTAATATTTATTCAGATATTTATCGAAAAAAACCCAGAAAAATGGACTATATCCATTTTTTTTAAGCACGTCACTTCTTCGTTCATTGCTGATTTAGTGTGCCCGGCCCAGTATCGTCTTAGAGGTATCAGTGTTACTTTCCGAGAGCGCAATGTTTTATTAATGCGTAAATGTAATGTAAACACTAATCAAAACGGATCAGCGCAGCAAATATCAATTTGATATTTTGAAAGCTAAAACGGTTATCTAAAATTTATGCTTTTGTTTTATGAATAATTGATTTTAGCTTCGGTACCACGTTAATTATTCAGCGGTTTTGTACCAGCTAAAGACTAGTCGGGCAAAGCCTATTTAAGTACATTTTGATAGAAGGCATTTTAGCTTATAAATTTAGTGTTGATATTTTGTTGTAGTTTTAGATTTACGAGTAGTTCGGTGTGAAATTATTCCGGATCAATAAGGTTCAATTTAAAAGAGCATGCTACAGCTACATATAAATGTATTATATAACTTATTTAACTTTGCATGCTTCTAATATATGATTAAAGAAAAGTTGTTTAAAGCCTAAAAATAACAAACAAACAAACAAACAACAACAAAAACAAAGGCAGATATTCTACAATACAATGCCTTTTATTTTTCTGTTTTCATGTGTGTGATTTTGCAAAATTTCATGAATTGGTAACGTGTGTTTTGCTTATTTTACCCCTCTTTATCTAAACAAACCTTAAAAATACTGTGCCAATTTGAATGTAAAATAGCCTTTTTGAAAGAATTTTCCGCAACTTATTGTATTAAAAAAGGGAATAAAATGATTATGCTCAGCAAATATGAGCCGCGTCACGACAAAACCAACATAATGAATTTGCGACCAGCATGGATCCAGACCAGCCTGCGCACCCGCGCAGTCTGATCAGGATCCATGCTGTTCGCTTACCAACTCTATAACAAGTGGAGAAACTGATAGCGAACAGCATGGATCCTGATCAGACTGCGCGGATGTGCAGGCTGGTCTGGATCCATGCTGGTCACAAACCCATTATGTTGATTTTGTCATGACGCGGCTCAAATATTTTTCAGATATACATTATCACATATATAGAAGATGCAAACTTAACTCTTTTTCATGGTGCCTATATGTTCCTTTAGAATATAAAGCTTTAACGAAAAAAAAACAACAAAAAAAAAACAACAAAAACAAACATGATATACATATAATATGAAATGAAAATGTTATATATAAAAATATGTGTCCAAAATATGCTTTGTTGTTTGTTATTGTTGTTTACTCACGTAGTTTGAAAAATAGAATGCTTTCGTCGCAGAGATTAACAAACAGTATGTGTTTGAGGAAGTGTTTTGAGTAGTGAATGTTTTGCATATATCTCGGACAGTTTTAATCAATTTACTAGTATATTGTAGCGCTGCAAAGAATTAATCAAATACATTGTTTTTTCTAAGGCTTAAAGATAAACGGGCTTTGTATAAACACGGATTTCGTCATTTAAATGCTTTTCCAAATTGGAAACAAAATTTAAGACCTGATTGAAAGTGTTATTTTCAAATTAGAATATGCGATAAACTATGAGTTTTTATTGCTTTGTTAGAAACTAGCTATGTGAATGTCTGTATGACACTGAGAAACTGATATTTTCTTGTAAAACGTTCGATGCAGTCCAACGAATGTTCTACCCGAAAGTAGATTGGCCCGGCCTTGAATTTGGAACAGTCAATTCAAAGTTTTAGGGATTTCAACATCAAAATACAAAAAATGTGCTTCCAACAATATAAGCTGAACGTGCAGACTGGACTGCATGGTGAAAAAGGTTCATCACTTTCAGTTCCAGCAGGTGAAACGTCAAGTTCAACATCTTCATTCTTTTAGTTTATACAAATTTATCTTAGATAGATTGTGCTGGAAGCTGTAGGCTTATTGAAACACTCTCGAGTCCGATCCTGGAATATACCTTAGCAATGAGTGCAAAGTTTCTCCCTCAAGGAAACAACGGGTTGTCTCCCTGACGGGTATTGACTCACGCGGTCAGCAATTCTTAGATTTCTAGTCAAATGCGTTAACCACTCGACCACGCCGCCACACTTTATTCTTTTCACATTAAGTAGTCTTATTGCTAACTTCTAACCTTACTGATTACTTACACTTTTGAAACAGTCTTATTATTACGAAACACATCAATTCTTAAGCTTGCATTGAAAGTGCAAAAAGTATTCTAAATAAAAATGTATAATTTAATACGTTGATTTATTAAATTTAGATTTATTATTTCAAACTTCATGTCATTACTTCAATACCTAACTGCATAGGAGACGAAATTCATTTTAAACCCCGATTTCGTCACACACGTTTCTATTGAACACTTATTGGAAACTATGTTGTTAATAAATTATTTTTATAAATAATCTATTTGAATTAAATCACTTATATATTACAGCTGTCTTATGATGTAATCAATCACTAAAGTTTATTAAATTAAGTAAAACATTTGTTATAGGCTACAATATAATAACAATACCATTTGTATACTCAATGGCCGGGAGGTCATTAATTTACAATAGACCTAATATATAGTTAATATTATATTACCAACTTAGATTAACGTAATTACGGGGTTTGGGTTAAACACATTTGAGCCGCGTCATGAGAAAACCAACATAATGGGTTTGCGACCAGCATGGATCCAGACTAGCCTGGATGCGCAGTCTGATCAGGATCCATGCTGTTCGCTTACAAACCCTATAACAAGTAGGGAAACTGATAGCGAACAGCATGGATCCTGATCAGACTGCGCGGATGCGCAGGCTGGTCTGGATCCATGCTGGTCGCAAACCCATTATGTTGGTTTTGTCGTGACACGGCTCATTTTATTTGATATATTTACATCATAATGAACAGTATTTATACAATACATTTGGGATTGGGCAGAGAGCTATGAAAGCTTATGAGTGTCCTGTCCCAATTACCAGGTTTCTTCTCTTGATTTTAGAAACGTCTAGTCCGGAAATTTGGTGTGAAGGCGGAGACCTCATCTGAAAGATCTTATTCTTCAACCAAAATTTTACCCTTCTATTGCTATACGTACGTGCGTGCGTGCGTGGGTGCGTGCGTGCGTGTGTGCGTGTGTGTGTGTTTCTCTCTTAATTTTGAAAGCCCCTTGACTTTTCAAAACCAAAGATGGACAAATCCATCACACAAATTCAGCAGTTTAGTGGTTGAAAGGTTTAATCTTATTTAATTTTTTTTGTCTTTTTATGACACAAAAACTGCTTTGAAAAACTGTAAAATTTCATAGAAATTATCAAATATGTTCCATATTATTGCATTTCTTCTACAGAGAATAATATTTTTGACGATTTAGATTAAGAAATCCTAGCTTGCCCTCAGTGGGTGGATTTTTATCATAAAGGAAATACAATTTTTGTAATTAGATTAAGAAAAATAGTCAAATTCACATGAATTAGAAATGTATATATTTATATTTAATATGTTATATAAATGTATCAGGAGAACTTAATATGCCACCTTTAAAAACAATGTAGTTTTAAAACTGTAATTTTACATTTAAAGATTCTCTAACACATTCTGTTAAAGGAACTCCACTGTGGTCCAAATGCCTAAAAAACATTAATTTTCAAAATCTAACGTATATCAAGTGGAGCACTTAAAATAGATAAATCTGCAAATGATAATTAACAAAAATGTATACTCGGAATTGAATTGGAATCGATATTTGTACAATTCTTTGCCGGTTTTGAGCGAAAAGCGTTTCAACGCTTCTCATTTATGGGTCTTTTTGTATTATAAAAATGATCATTCGTGATAAACGGAAAGAGGGAATAAGCTGAAAATGTGCACACAAATAACTGGTCCAGACATACATCAATTGGACTAATAATCTCAGAAAAAAAGTTCCAGTCCTATCATCTCAAAATACCTCAATGGAGTCCCTTTAAACAGGTTGTGCACCAGATTTTTGTTATCCTGGTACCCAAAACGGGAAAGAATTAAAGGGTTGGCGATAACGCAGTACATGAGCGGAGTGTTTCCTTTCGTCTGTCTCCGCACTGCTGAGCCAACGAGTGGGTTTTGTTTTACGACACAAATGGGCTAGGATGTAACCAAATTAACGGGGATTAAACAATTTGACTGTCATAACAGAATCAGGAACTTGCAAAAAGTTTAATTTCCTACAATCTCCACCCCCTTTTTCCTCAGGGATGTTTGATGTGATTATATTTTACTAACGCATTACAGTGACTGGAAATATCTTTGATTTTTTATATACCTTCGTCTGCTCAACAAGCACAAAAGCAGGGCGTATGAAAAAAGAACTTCATCGTGGTTTTGGTCTATGTCCAAGTTAGATGTCAATTACGTAAAAACCAAAAAAAAAAAAAATCTAAAAAAAATCGACATTTCTTTTTTTTTTCTAGCGTTGCCATACTTAAAATTGTATTCAAATTTCGCACCAAATAACGGGTAGTTGTATAATGCAAATAAGAGAAAACGTCTTTTTTTTAGGTTTTTGCATATGACGATTTAAAAAAATATAGTTAAATTATATATATAATTAAAATTTATATTTATAAGTACTTAAAAAGCGGTCCAAACCAAGAAGCAAAATTGGACGCAAAGAATTGTATGTTTATGTTTTTTCAGTAACGCTTTAGGTACATAGGCCTTGCTGTAATTTCCTCTGAGTGCCGTTATTATAGTTATATGTTTGTTTAAATGAAAACTAATTACCTGTATAATATTTCTCATTTCAGACCATGATATTGACCCGTCCCCATCGATGTCATACACTTTAAACGCCCACGTAATTTTCGTTTCTGCATCTTTACTCCCGGAAAAACACAGTCCGAGCAAAAACTCCTGAAAATTTACAGTTCCGTCATTGTTTAGGTCAAAAGTCCGAAACACGTGTTCAGCAAAGTCTGTGGTCTCACATTGAAAAAGTCCACTGTAAACTTTCATGAACTCTTCTTTGGTCAGTTCTTTGTTTGACCGCCGGCTCTCTTGGTATGTTTTGTAGCAACATTGAATTTCGTCCTCAGAAAGTTCGCCCTTTATAAGGGATTGTATTTTAGACATTGATTTCTTATCTAGTTTTGCCTCTGATTTTGTTTGTTTACCGCCCATTTTGTTTATAATAAATGTCTATTATCTTATTTATATCACCAAACGATATATTTTATTTGCACATAAAAAAAACTCGAAAACAAAACAACAAAAACATTTAGAAATAAACACTTTCACCATCCATTGTTAATGTAGCGGCATTATTATATGGCAAGAAATGATAAACATAAGATTAAGTAAATATTAAGTGATCCGCTATACGCCGGTTACTCTATACACATGGCATAAAAAGCAATTCTTATTTACTCCTAATGTTATGCAGATTATCAATTTTCGAAATCCTTAGATACATGCCTGATAGCTATCATTACTTTTCACAATAAAACTCAGATAAATGTGTCCCTCATACAAACATCTTGAGCTTTGCAATAACTCTGTCTTTTTACTTGATTTTGGCGTCCTGATGCGATTCGTCAACTTTGCCCAATAGAAACTCGTGAAATTAGCACGCTGTGACACTCGTCAATGCGGCGGTCTTAATTGAATCAATAGAATAATATAGTGGCAACGTTAGCATAAATATAGGAAATATGCGTCAGTCAAGCGTTAGAACGTTTTTCAATTATTCATTCTTTATAATTGATTATTTGGTAAGAAAACGAAAATAGTTCACATTGATTATTGCGCGTCAAAAGAAATTCCCCGGAGAAAATAATGAAGTTCTTACATTGTAATATGTCAGAATCACGCACAACCGGTATTAATATTTAAAATGAAACTGCTATTATTGAATTTGGATTAATCTGAAAACATGGACATATTATCTAAATTAATTCTAGTTAATACTCCGTGTCGGCTGGTTCCACCTCTGCACTGTGGTCTGCATTATCTATTGATTTTGCGTAAAAAAGAAGTTAACAAAAAGCCTTATAATGTTTTGGTAAAATGTTTTTGCATATGAGCCGTGTCATGACAAAATCCGCATCCGCGCAGTCTGATCAGGATCCATACTGTTCGCTTACCAACCCTATTTTAAGTAGAGAAACTGATAGCGAACAGCATGGATCCTGATCAGACTGCGCGGATGCGCAGGCTGGTCTGGATCCATGCTGGTCGCAAACACACTATGTTGGATTTGTCGTGACACGGCTCATATCTTTCACAAGGTTTGAAATTTATAGGTTTATGAAGTGCCGGGAATGAATCAAAGTTTCTTTAACTGATCTCACATCAAGCATTCTAAATAAACAACTTCATATAACCACTGAAGATCTTTGTTGCAGAACTTTCTTATTTGAATGCTTTTCCAAATAAATTGTAAGCATTGTTTTTAAGTATTATTTTTAAATTAGAAACTTATTATCTCAACGTTATCATTGTTATATTAGGAGCGAGCTGTGTGAGTGCAAGTTGTGAATGTATGGCAATTGAACTTTAAAACGCTCAACATAGTCAAACTTCTGTTCATGGACGCCGCCAGTCTGTTCACTCCAATTTATTAAAAGTAAAATGAACAACACAAATTGCTAACAATGATTTATTTATATAAGGATTGTTAAATGTTATTGCAATGTGAACTGACAAACTCGGTTATACGGGGATGAAAGGCAAACTATAGATCTTGATAATATGAAAGATGCAATACTTCTATTATCATTAGTTAAGCAGGCAATTATTTTTACCCTCGCATCAGAATCTATTTTTGATTGTGTCGGTACACCATATTTCCGTCGTTTCATGATCTACATCGTTCCCTATTCAGTCAGTACATATTTTTGAAAATTTCCGTAATAAATCTGAATGGTTTTGATGCCCATGGCCATTAAAGACATTTAGCATGGTAGAGGTTAATTGTTTAAAATGAAGCACCTGTTTTGTACATTAAGCCCTTTACGTGCCAGGTTTTATGACCCAAAATATACAGTAATATCAACTCTCAGCAAGCAGAGGCGTCCGGTTACCTCAAAATTTAGAGCGTTGGACTGAAAATCGGGCGACCCGGGTTCGATTCCCGGACGTAGCAATTCACTTTCATTGTGATTGATACTAAGATACTTTCTACACTCGCACTGTACCTCTGCTCTGACAAGTATTGAAATAATCAAGTTCTTTCGAAAGTGAAGGCAAATAATACTGGTAAACTGCTTGACAGCTTGCCAAGGAACGATGCAATGGCAGAACTGTGCTGTGGTAAATTGAATGTGGCTTACTGCCGTGATCCGGAGTGAAAACTACCACAACCGAATCACCTCTCAGCGAAGGTCATTCTGCAGCTCTTTTATTGAAAGTGAGATTATCTGAGAATATTTTAGATTTTCTAGAGAGGAATAAACAGTTTTGTTAGAAGAATGTTAATAAATTGATTTCTTTGATTTTGATGTCGGTTAAACCAAACATCTATCCGAACAGTGGGTATGTTTGATTTTTCTGCATGATTGCATCTAGACTTTTGCATATCCAAATTGTCTATTTTTCTCTCTTACACCGTCTAATATCTATCATATATTATGCACAGAAAAGAACGTAATTTGGTATGTTTTCATTTATATTTATTGTATCATATAAAGCATGCGCAATAATAAGAATTATTTACATAAAAATATAAAAAAACCACACCAATCTGATTTAAACAATCTAAATGAATATTGTCGCAATAATGTGAAGTTTACTCTCATAATGTATGAAAGTATGGACTCTTTTATTTCTTCTATTTGATTTCCATTACATTTCCGAAAACTATTTACATGTATATGAACTCTATTTACACGACCTTTTCGAAATTTTAACACACACACACACACACACACGCACACGCACACACACGCACACACACGCACACACGCACACACATACACACATTTAAGTGTGATTTTAGCAGCTATGTAACATGACAAAAACTCGTTAATGTTCTAACACCGTTCACGCAAGCAATGTTATAAAGTCATCTAAGGACCACTTTGCAACATATGTTAATATAATTCGAACCTACAGCCATGTAAATCGAAGACAACTACCGTCATCTTTTTGTCACTTATACATCTATCTCACATCATCAAATGAATAAACAAATTCAGGGAAGTAAAGCCATTATTTTGTATTGTTATAATATAAAGTTGTAATTATTAAAGCAGCCAATATATCAGATAGCCATGCTTAAACAATAATATAATATTTACAATTGAATGTTGTAAAAGAACAGACTTAATGAACACAATTTAAAGTGGTTTCACTATTTCACAAATATACGAGGGCTGTTCGATATGTATTGTCACTAAGGTTATATTTCCATGAAAACGAAAAACAAACTACTTATTTTTGGTGCATCCCTTCAAAGTATTCCCCCTGCACTTGTATGCAAATTTTCAGTCTCTTCAGCCACATCTGAAACGCCCGGATGTAGTCTTTTGTGGGTATACTGATGAGGCACTGGTATATGGCAGAACCAACTGAAGGTCTCTTGGAATATTTTCTTCCAGCGAGCATTTTCTTGAGTCTGGGGAACAGGAAGAAATCACAGGGGGACAAATCTGGCGAGTACGGGGGATGCTGGAGTACTGTCACATGTTTTCCCGCCAAAAAGTCTGTCACTATAGCAGCCTTGTGGGCAGGGGCGTTGTCATGGAGCAATTTAATGTGTCTCATGCCACTTTTCGGCCGAATTTTCCCGAAGTATTTGTCCAACTTTTTCAAGACAACATCACGGTAAAATTTGCCTGTGATACCTCTTCCCTTTGGTACAGGTACCTGTATGGCTAGACCACGTGCTGTAAAGAAAATGGCGTACAACATCTTACGCACACTCATTGTTCGTTTGGCAATACAAGGCCTCTTTGCAGCTTTTGTAGCCCAAACTTTGTTACTCATTTTCCTGTGGGGCTCGTAGAAGTATATCCACGTCTCATCACCCGTAACCAAGTCAGAAAAGTTGTTTTTCTCCATCTTCTGTGCCATTTTCAGTATTTTACGAGCACATTGGACACGTGACCTCTTTTGTTCAACAGTCAGGAGATGTGGAATCCAGCGTGCTGTAATCTTCCTAACTTTAAGCTGCTTTTTAAGAATGAAGTGAACTGTTGATGATGAAACCCCCGTTAGTTTCGCTAGCTCACGCACTGTATACCGCGCATCTTCAAGCAACAGTTCTTGAATTCTGGCTTCAGCAAGTTTGGTGCTGATGCTGACTTTTCTTCCACTTTTTGTGTCATTTTCAATGGACACTCTGCCTGAAGCAAACTTCTTAGCCCATCTACAAACAGTCCTATAAGACATCCGACCTTTACCATAAATGTCCACAACGTCCTTGAAAATTTCAGTCGCAGACTTTCCTAATACAGCGCGACCTTTGATGTACCCCCGGATTTCAGTGCAATTTGCAATGCTTGCGCCCACCATTTTTCACACAGTGGTCAATGAGTGGATGCGTTTTAATCGATGTATTTGTGTTAATCCGCTGTAGCTCATGTACAATTTGGTATTGATTTTTTCGTTATGCTTCGCTCTATCGGTCAGAACACAAATTACCCACGTGGGAAGCGCTAAAAGCGAGAATCACGTGCAAAGACAATACATATCGAACAGCCCTCGTATGAATGCTTTTTTGAGCATTGGTCGTCATTCCATAGTCCTTTGTTATCGTGAACGTCTTGTGCAATTATCATTCCACAATCCTCATCCCCGAACTTATCGTTAGGCTCGCCAGGAGCCCAGCTTGAAAAATTTCCAAGTTTTTGTGTTCCTTCTGATGACCTCCATTGCCAGTTATTTTCATTCTGCGTGTCATCCAGTCCAATCCAGAAACCATCTGAAAACATACACCATTGATTATACCTTTTGGACAATATTGATATTAGCACTTGAACAAAGACATGTGATGTTCAGACTGTCGTTATATATGCGAGGGTCTTTAGAAACTAGTCTTTAGATACAGTAAATTTTCATCTCATCTAGATATAAAATTTGGATTGGATGATAATTGGTTAAAAACACCGACGTGTTTGTGTTGAATGTTGAAATGAATAAATGAATGTTGTGTTTGTTGGGTAAGAAATTAACTTTCTAAAAACATGCATATCTATATTTAAAATACTTCAACCATCAACTTCATTATTATAGTACATACATTTCCCTCCCAGGATATTATCCATTATAAAATCATTCTCTTCTTTGTTTTCTATTCTTACAAGGTCGCCGTGGATCAATCTGCATTTCTCCTGAAAATATAAGAAATTTACATCATCATCATCATCATAACCTCCATCCTCATCACCATAATCATCATCATATTCATCATTATCACCATCATCAACATCATCACCATATTAATAATTATCATCACATCAACTTGATAATAAAACTCATCGATTGCCGTTGCTATCGCCGTCTTTATATCATTATTCTCATTATTATCATCATTGTCGAAGTATTGATCATCATCATCATCATCATTAACAACATTATCATCAGTTTTTGAAATGTTATCATAGTAATTCAGAGTAAAGAAAAAGATTTTAATTGTTCACGTCATCGAATGAGTAAAAGGTTACAGATCTGACTATTACTTGGCCAGCTCATGGTCAATTTAATGAAAGATCTTTTCTTCAGATAAGGCTTAATGTGAAGTATTGAATATGAAGTTTTTATTATTCTTATATGAATCGTAACACTGTACAAACTACATCGTTCTTATGATAGGTCTACTTTTTATTGTAACTTAATGCGTGTATGAACTAAGTCCACTCACTTTGGCGTCATCCCATGTGCTTGCTTCTTTCACAAATCGATAACACTTTTTTCCATATTTTTTCCATGTGTCGTCCAGGCATGAAACTAAAAGAAATAATATTATAGATTAACAGGTTTTTAATTCATTTTTATACTTGATAATAAACTGAACAAATTAACTCTTATTGGCGACAAATATCTGAACACATTAACACATCTTATTGGCGACAAAATATCTGAACAAATTAACACATCTTATTGGCGACATAGTGCAGCTTGTAAACTTGGAAAATCTTTGGATAGTTTTCTAATATTATATCAACCGTTTTCTAACTAACCATCATCATCATCATCATCATCATCATCATAAACAACAACAACAACAACATCATCATCATCATTTGCTCAGAAATAAGATAACATCAATGATTAAAAAAAGTAAAAGAGATTTCTTTAACAATGCTATTAAAAATAACAAAGACCCGGCATTTTTATGGAAAAATTTAAAGGACGTTTCAAATCTAAATAAAAAAGGTTGTATTACAATGCCAGACAGACTTGTGACAGGTAATAAAGAAATTTACGGAACTGTAAATATTATAAATGAATTAAACAAGTATTTTGTCAATATCTCGAATGTCATACATAAAACAAAGTTTTCAAATACAAATTTTTCAAGATTAAAAGAAACTTTAAACCAAAAGCTAATATATCATGAATTTAATATTGAATTAATTACACCGTTTGAAGTAAAACTTATTATTGAAAAAACTGAATATTAAAAAATCTACAGGATTAGATGGAATTGGACCAAACATCATCAAATATTGTGGAGATTATATTACACCAATAATTGCATCAATTATCAATAATAGTATTGAATCTAATATTTTCCCAGATGATTTAAAAAGAGCTCGAGTTATACCTATTTTCAAATCGGGGGATACGAATGAAGCAAATAACTATCGACCGATATCAATTTTGTCAACTATATCCAAAATATTTGAGCGCCATATTGCCAAACAAATACACTCATTCTTTGAAAAAACGAACATAATTCATAATAAACAATCAGGATTTCGTAAAAATCATTCATGTAATACTGCACTAATTAGTTTAATAGATACTTGGTTAAAAGATGTTGACAGTGGAAAAATTATCGGGACTGTATTCTTAGACTTAAAGAAAGCCTTTGATTTGGTTGACCATGAAATACTTTTGCATAAACTTAAACTTTATCATTTTTCTGAAAATGCCGTTAAGTTCTTTAAGTCATATCTTTCTAACAGAATACAACTGGTTAAAATAGGTAATCTTCAATCTCAGTCAATGAAAATAATTTTCCGGTGTTCCACAAGGCTCAATATTAGGACCTTTATCATTTCTAATATACATAAATGACATAGCTTTCATAGGTAATGATATAAAAATTGATTTATACGCAGATGATTCTACTCTTTATGAGTCCGGAGAAAATATATCAAAAGTAGAAATAAAACTTCAAGATCATTTAAAATAGCATGGACAAATGGTGCAAAATAAATAATATGGCCTTAAATCCAGATAAATCAAAATGTATGGTAATAGGAACAAGACAAAAAGTAAATTATGAGAAAATTAATTCTTAAGATAAATGAAATAGCTCTTGAAAATGTAACTGATCAAAAAGTCTTGGGTATTTGCATAGATAACAACTTAAAATGGCACTTGCAAATTGACAATGTTTGTAGAAAACTTAACGGAAAAAATTGCCTTATTGAAAAAAATATCGTATTTTTTGCACTTTGATATGAAATTATTGTTTTACAATGCATATATATTGCCCATTATGGACTATTGTTGTATTATATGGGGTAAAGGAAACACAAACTACATAAAATAATGTTTGTAAGTTACAAAAACGAATTGCTAAAATCATTTTACAGGAACCTCAAAGATCTCCGTCAATAAATCTATTCGAAACTCTTAATTGGTTACCGTTCCTTGACAGATGTAAATACCACACGGCGGTGCTTGTTTTTAAAACTTTAAATAACATCGCACCGACTTATATGACAGAACTGATGACTTTATCCGACAACAAAATATATAACTTAAGATCTAGGTCACGAAAAGATATTGTATTATGGACAAGACCTAAAACAAATTATATTAAAAACACATTTTCTTATTATGGCATGAACATTTGGAACAATATACCTTTAAATATTCGTAATGCTAATAACCTTAAATGTTTTAAAGAAAAATACAAAGCATATCTTGATGTTCATATGAGTGAATGAATGATGTGAATGAACGAATAAATATATGAACGAACGAATGATGCAATATACGTATATGTTTTAAACAAATTGTTGAGTGTCTGTCGAAAATATATGAGTTGTAATATTTTAAAAATTACATATTATACATTCATTTTTCTACCTACTATGCATATCCTGTTGTTGTTGTTGTTGTTGTTTTCTATTTCAGAAGGCCACATTGGAAATAAGATATATATGATTGTTATTGTATGTTCTTAATGTGTAACCTTCTTTAAATAAAGATATTATTATTATTATTATTATTATTATTATTATCATTATCATCATCGTCGTCGTCGTCTTCGTCATTGCCATGGTTATAGCCGTCGTCATCATAACAGTAATATTAATCATCATCATCGTTGTCGTTGTACTTGCCGTCGTGGTTGTCGCCGCAATGATGATGATGATGTTGATCATCATAATTTTTCTACGATGTTATGATCTACGTTGTCGCAATCATAATCATCACAACCATAAACTGTAATAGTAATAAACATTATTATACTCACTAACATTATAACTTACACTGTTTTTGAACAATACTGAATCGCCTCTCAGAAATTTCAAGATGTTCTTGATGTTGGCCTTGAAGCTTCGAAATAGCCATATTGGACATTTCTACCTCTTTTAGAACATTTGCAACATTAGTTTTCAGTAAATCAATGGCAGAAAGTTCCTTATTTACAATTTCTTTTACATCTGTCACAACATTGTTAATCTTAATTTCCAGCATTGATTCCGTTTTTTGGACTTTTTCATCCACTTTTTCAATTTGGGTTTTCATAGTATTGAAAAATTTCAATCTTTCAGCTTTCTCATTTTTCAAAGTTTGTCGCACGACAGATTCAATTTTCAGTCTTTTCTCCTTCATTGTTTTGCCAGTTTGAGCATTTCCATCCATATCAACTTTCTCTTTAATACAGGTCGCATTATCAAAATCGAAAAGTCGTTGCTCAAGTATTTCAACACGGGCGTTCATATCTGCACGATATATAATATATTTTAATACAAAAAGCATTTTTTTCTCTTTTCTTTAATAATATGCTATGCATATGTTAGTGTTTATCCGTGCTGTTCTACAGAAATTAGAAACTTCGACTGGAGCGGTAGACAGGAGAAGGTTTCTATTTTCTGTACGACAGCTACGGGTGGATACTAACATATTAAGTGTCAATCTTTATTTTGCTTCATTATTTTTTTCTTTATTACGTCACGACTATTTGTATGAACGCGGTTCTATGAAGAACTATGCAAAAAAGGCGACTATGAACAGAATTTCATATAGTATCGACTTTGTTCTTCTATGAAAATTAACACAGATAATTTTTAAGAAATACAGCGTTTTAATTGGATAACAAATAAAGATGGACACTAAACGTTATAAAGATACATACATAGAGGATACTGAATGACGATAAGTTCAATTATTGAATTTTTATATTATGCGTGTCTCTGGCAGGTATAATATCATTTTATTCAACGTTTTGTTTGTTTGTTTGTTTCAATCACGGATTTATATTACATGTAATATAAATCCGTGTTTCAATTTACGCCTTTTCCCAACAGTATTTCAGTCATTTAGGCGGGTAGTTTCCTAACCATCGTTCCTAGATTGTTACACCAGTACTAGACTACCGTTCTTCGCGCTAAACGACCAAAGCATCTCCCGGGGATCGAACCCACGCCAGAGAGGTAACTGGATTAGAACTCATCGACTCTAACCCCTCGACCACGGAGGCGGTATTTATTCAACGAGTTCAATAAATTCAGTATTGAGCCTACACGAATATAATATTCTTTTTATCACTAAAATAAAGACTTTTTGAAGTGATTTTCTGCCAGAGGTTTTGTTAACTGACCTATATCTGATGTCATATGACATGTAAGCATCCTTATTTATGATGTACACATACATATTGTTACTTATGCACCTGCTAGTCTTATCTGTTTGATAGCGGAAAAGCATGTTAGAATGTATTTTTGAATATGTCACCAGTTTGGAATACACATGTATTGCTTTTTACATAAAAAAGCTTGATGGTATTTCGTAAACAAAGCCAGTGCCAATTAAGTTATTTTATTTGCTTTAAATAGTATAATTTCATTAATAATAACAATAATAATAATAAATAATGTCTCTAGTTATTTGAGGAAGTCTCGTTATTCGATTGACATTTTCTCTCTGAAATTGTTATTATTATTTAGATTTATTATTACTATTACTATTATTATTTAATAATAATAATAATAATAATAATAATAATATACCTACGCAATGATAATAACTTAAGAGAGAAAATGTCAATTGAATAACGAGACTTCCTCTAAACATAAAAAATAACTTCATGTATAATGCAAATGTATCCATAATGAATTAATTAACTTGATAAGTAATTCCAATCTGTTAAACATTCAGTTTTTAATCTTAATAAACAACATAGACCTGAAATTCGAAATGTAATTAATAATAAAGTGTTACCTTTTGTTGAGTCTGTTTCTTTAGATGCCGTCTGCATTTCAGAACGTAATTTGTACATCTCTTGTAGAAGGAGATGTTTAGTGACTTCTATATCAGTGCAGCTACATTGGCAATCACTCCTTACAATCAAAGCACCAACGATACCCATAATTAAAGAAAATGAAGTGAGGTAATGCATTTTCCCCTAAAAACGTGAGTACGGTAAACAAAATATACCAGACAAGTGTGATTTGTAAAGTGTAAGGTATGAAGCCTAACGGTCTAAGTGACGCTTAATTAAATGTGTACAACTTAAATAGAGCTGGGGAGTTCAATGAAACACTTGACTTCACCCTCCTAACAGGAAGCGGACCTTTTTAGCAATAGATTTGCTTTTCCTAGTAAAAGTTAAGAAGCGAAAATTGGTGAGTCTAGCATGTTTTTTTTTAAATAAAAGAAAACATTTGCGAGACAGCCATGTATTATTGATAAGTTGTAGATAATTCATCGATACTCGTTTTTATTATTATTTTTTTTTGGGAGGGGGGGGGGGGGGGGGGGGTAATTCCCTTGATTAAAACATTTCTAATCAATTAAGTGTTTTTCTTTTCTGTTAGTAGGATTTTTTAAAAAGATTAATCTAGTTATTTTTCTTCTTGATTATGTCTTTTTATCAATTCTATTGAAAAATTTTGTCTTTTTGGCTAAGATGGAGCACCGCGTTAATTCTGTAAACGGGTAGTGGAGATAGTTGTTTAATACTTTTCGCATTTGTCATTACAAAAAACCCATTAATATTGCCGAATTTGTAAACAATATACAAAACTAGACTTAATTTAACGTGTATTTTATGCATCTGGTATTTATGTGTTATATATATGACTTAAAAAGTTGTTTTTTGTGTATTCTCCAAAACCTCATTTTGTTGCGGAAGAATTAAAGATGTACTACCCACGTGAGCTGTCCAGGTTTAAAAGTGGTGAATCTAAACAGTGTTATACTCACTTTTCCCCTCGGAGCGTGTTCTTTGAAAAGGGCACAGGACCGAAAATTTGGGAACTGGAGGCCGCAAAAGATCAGAACCTTGTACTGGGGCCCACCCGAACTTGATTTAAAACGGAGGGGGGTACAAAGAGGCTAAACAAAAAATGGTGGCTAGGGGCGAAAACCCAAATACATGTAGATAGACGCTTGAACGACGGGGCCTTTTTTGCCAATACCCCGGTTTTTTAAAGGCCCCACCCCTTTATTACAGTCTTAAGATTACGTACTTTTGGGTTTCTTTATCGCGTACGTCCCTTTTTCTGTCAAAATTAGTTTTTGGCTAAAACTCTTGAAATTGCTGGAGGTAAAAATCAACTTTGTGTTTCAATACAATTTTTAAGGGGGCAGGGGAAAAAAAAGGTGACAGTTCGGGACCTTACTCGAAGGAATGGATGGCCCCCTCATTACGCATAGACAAAACATATATACAGTGTTATAACAGAATAAAGATTTCTGAAAAAAATAGATGGCTACCATATTATATTTCGGGCCTCATTAGACTTAATTAGATAGTGTTGGTGTTTAAAGTTGAAGACAGTATATAATTCATCAAGTACAATGGAATCCAGAATTAAGCTGATTTACAATAAAACAAAGAGTACAAAATTACACTGGGTCCGCCAGAAAAAGTGAGCTAGGTCGAACTGGCAGCTAGATTGAGACCTTCGGTAAAATAACTGATCATAATCCGGAATAAATGACCGTATGTAATGGACGGAATATAGCTAAGTTTCGGCACCGGAAGTGAACACGTATCATATTTTCAGGCTTTCCAAAAATTTTATCAGGTAAACAACATGGACAATGATTTACAAAAAGTAATAGTACAACAAGAGTTGAACAAGAGCAACATGTTAATTAACTTGCAATCGCATTTCGTCATTTTAATGTCATTTATTATATGGATTTGCAGTTTGTTATACATTTTCGCGATAATCGTCAATTTGGCTATCTATTCAATATCGTGCTCATGTATATATGTACAATTATTTCTACCTTATTGTAATGAAGTAAAAAGAACATTTTGGAGCAGTGTTTGTTAACAAAAAAATTAATGTTTGACACGCATTAAAAAGTAACGTAAAATATATTTTTTTCACGCATAAAAAAGTTTATCAAATTGTAAAATATTATCACATTCCTTCCTGCTCCTGCATTAATAGGTTACCATGTGCTTGTTTCTTGAAAAACAAAGTTCAATCAAATATATTTATAAAGTGAAGGGGTTATCTTTGCGTCAGAGTTCTCTCACCAACTTGACAGTAAGAAAAAAAAGTCTGTAAAATGGGTCAAACCGTTCACGCCGAATTAATTAGGCTACCAACTAGTATGCTTTCAGGTAGTCCTATAAATATGACGTCGCTTTGAGATAATTTTGCTTCTGGGCAAAGCAACGTCATATCGAAATTGCTCAAAAACCCATAGCATGTTCCGCCAGAAAATCGGGCGGAAAGAAAAAACAATTAAGACCAGTGTTATTTACATTAGTTTTTGACCTATTTATGAACAAAAAACTAAAAAAATAAATACCTTTTGTGTCAAAATAATTAAACTTGTTTCAACATCCGAAAAATCAGGATTTAATCCTCTCATATATTTAAACTCCTTTTACACGCCGATAAACAAACTGACGGCTGTACAGTGCGCGAAAATCTGATTTGCTTATTCAAATGCAAGAGTTAAACTGAGTCGGAACAAACTAAACGGAATATTTTTTTAACGAAATAAATTGCCCATGCACCGTAGAGTGTTCGAATATATTTTCCCATTCAAAAATTTGGAATCAATCTGTAAAGCACCTTGTTTAAACCCAGTATGGCCGGATAGACAAAAGATTGATGTTTATATGTTTATTTTAGATCAATAATACATTTGATTGAGATTTTTTATATTGTCATAAATTGAAAAGAAAAGAAATATAAGCTTTTGAAATAAAAAGCTTGAAAGGCAAGACATAGACATTTTTGGAATTTTTATATGCTATGCGGTTTTGAGCAATAAACTATAAGACTGTCAGGCTTGACCGACATTACTAACAAAGCCTGTAAACGTCTAATAAATTGGACTTAGCTTTTTCAGGTTCAATAAACACCCGGTGACGCTCTTCATTCCGAGCGTAGATCCCCTCGCATACCCTTCGGTGTTTGTATTACAAGCGACCTGCGTATCGCCACACATGACTCTTCGCCACGCACAAGGATTTCCGCGCGACGCTCAATTTTGTCTGCCTGGGGATGCAAAACATTAACCGATTGATCCACAAAAACAAATATTGTCAGTTGCTTGTCCAATCTATAGGTTGGCGGGTTTTATGCACATTACCATGAACAATTAGCAATCAGCTATGGCTTCCTACCCCGTATTTCAAACATCGCTCAAACGGCGTCATCACAATACGCGATGAGATATCTGAACATAGTACTCCACATAAATGGAACAAAAAACCTGTGAACATCTTACTGGTGTCAACAAGTTATTGCTCAAATGGTCCTTATCCATACTTGGTCAGGATCATTGTCTACAGGGTAATTTTGCTTGGATGAGGATAGTACACTTTCACTTTGATATAAAAACTATCGGCCACAGAACAAAAGCTACAGTCGTTAAGCACTCTTATCGATGCCTCTGTCTCTTAATTTCCAATATCCTGGAAATCTGGTCTTTAGAGTTCAATTTCTGTAGCTCTAGTCATCAGAGTCTACTATCGCTCACTCAGCGTTCAATCTCAATGGTCTCGAAACTTAAACTCACAGTCGGACTTGTCCACCTAGCAAATAATAACGAGATCTCGACACAAACTCATGCCTTCTTATAACAAATTACCTCTTCAAATAGCGTACACCTATATAGACATTCCCCAACCCGGTGCTGACCTAAGTCACTGTCTTATCCTATAAACCCCTTAAAATCGCCTAGATCTCTATACGACTCACATCCGGCTCGTATAGCGAATTTTCGGGCTTATATACGAACAAAATTTCAACCCCCAAATGACGAAAAACATTTGAAATTTTACCTTGCGGCCGACCCAATCCTTCGTTATAACAATTTTATAAGTTAACATAATCGGGTGCCACCTCTCATTAGGATATCTCAATTCCCAGTCACATAGAAAAAGACACATTCCGATAATTAAACAATCGATGATTGCACAAAGGTATCGTATTGGCTTTATCAGGAAATAAGATTTTAAATACAAGTATACACAAACATTCGTTCACACATTACACACGGGTTATAAATATTGTATTTCACATGACACACTTCAGTTGGATTTGCTCGAAACCAATAAATCATGCACGAACGTAACTCTCGAATCATTTTTGTGTTATCAATATTTACCAACGATGAGTAGAACACGCGAGAAATTAAGCGACAAATCGGAAATACAACATCGGTAAACTTCATGCACAATTACACTAATTATATTAGCTGATCTGACGCGAGTGCTAACATATTCACAATACCGAGGTGTGCCTTCAATAACCAATGCCTCGCATTATATAACCGCTTGCAGTAAAATTATCACCATCACCCGTAGCAAAGCTACGAAACACAGTTAGCAAGCAGTTTCATCCGGGCTTGACTAATTGGCTCGTGTCACCCAATAGTTCCCAATTCCTAACTAACGAATCTCGTACAATATGAAAATAACACAGCTGGTCGCGTGTAGACAAATTCAATGATATAAAACTATATCTATGACCTTGTACCCATTGACGTTGTAATTCATACATGACGCCACCTGCTTATAGGTACAAACATCAAATATGGAACACACTACCTTGGGTGAGCGAGCGTGAGCAAGTAAAGGTCACATTTTTGACTCATGTCATCAAGAGCTTTATCAGCGTCTTATTTCAGTCTTTGTCTCTGGTCCCTTTTGACGTTCCAAACATTGCGGGTCATCTCAATACTAACAGGGAGCATGAAATTGAAAGTTCCTATGGTATCCTTCACAACTCTACGTCGCTACTGTTTTATTCCAGGCATTCCTGAACTTCTGTCCTGACCGTACAAGGTTCGATTATGTTTTATGATTTCTTATTGTCAAGTTTGAATATGTCAACCTGGGGTCAAAAAACTAGTCAACACTGCTCAAAATATGAAAAATCTTGTTAACACTCTAAGAGGTCACATTTTTGACTCAACTGTCATGAAAAACTTTTTCAGGAATCTTGTCTTAGGTTAATTTGCTCAAATGAGGTTGTGGGTCAGTGAGCGATCTAGGGCCATCTGAAAAGATTTTCAAGATGCCCTAGCCCTTTTGTTTACTGTTCCCTTTTTGGTAAATATAAATATTTTAATTAAAAGCTTGAGTAAGATCATAAAAAGCATTTGTTTCATTTTCAAATACTCGTATCCTCTCCTACTTCCACTACCCTCTGAAGCAAGGCTATCGATCATGCGTAATGATAAATGGCTTAAGGGCACATTTTTAAATTTGAGCTAATTAAAAAAAATCCAGTTTTGAGCCCTAGATCTAGTTGAAAATCCAGTTTTTGTGTGCCCATTGAGGGGGCACTTAGATGTACCCTTGTCCATCTGTTCTCATTTTGTGTTGCACTTAGCTCAAAAAGTATTTGACCATTAGTCATGAAACTTTACAGGAATGTGGCTCAGCATGTGAAGTTGTGCAACTGAGGTTTTGCTTGTGGACTTTTTCTGTTTTGTCAGAGTTATTGCCCTTGATTTAGTAAAAATTTGCAATTTCTAACTTGTGTCGCACAAAGCTCAAAAAGTATTTGACCTAGAGTCTTGAAACTTTACAGGAATGTTGCTCAGCATGTAAAATTGTGCATTTGGGGTTTCGCTTGTGGATTTATTCTGTTTTGTTAGAGTTATTGTCCTTGACTTAGTTAAAATTTGTAATTTTCAATTTGTGTCACTGCATACTCAAAAAAATATTAACCTAGGAGTCATGGAACTGAAATATAGGAATAAGTTCAGCATTGTGAAGTGGAAATCTCCTTTCTGTGCTTTTTCACTAGCGGAACACATATATAGCACCTTTTCCCATTCGAGTGCGGAACGCACGTTTAGGCTCAAACTGCCTTAAACCAAACAAGTGATTAACAAACATTAAAACCATAGTGCTTCTTTTGGTGCAAAAACCAGGGCAACCAGTGACTAATGATTATTCTCAGATGTAGCAATGGATAAACAATTTATCCAAATTACATAAAACTTGTTAAACACTGGGAAAGGTCCGATGTCACCTTGGGTTTCGCTTGGGATTATCCAGCATTGTCTAGATTATTGTCCTTTACTTAATAAAAACCGTTTCGATTATTTGTTTATTGTTTCTTGAGTGGCCTGCGAGTTAAAACAAACCAAACTTTACCAGGGAATTAAATGAATCAAACAATCACTGTTTGAACTAGCACCTTGGGTTTTGCATGTGGATTTTTCTCGGTTTTGTTAAGAGTTATTGCCCTTGACTTAGTAAATATTTCCAATTTTCAACTTGTTTATGCATAGCTAAAACTGTGTTTGACCTGTAGGCCTGAAAGTTTACAAGAAAATTGGTCAGCATGTGAACTTATGCACCTTGGGGTTTGCTTGTGGAGTTATTCAGTATTTGTAAAGTTCTTGCCTATATAACGTAGTAAAAGAATTTAAGTTTTCAACCTAGAGTCATAAGATTGACAAAACAATGGAGTGTTGGGGCACCTTTGTCCTATGGACACATTTATAGTTCCCATTTTAGTTATCACAATCATGTATGTAAATGAATAAAATGAATTTGACTGCTGGACTTTATTGTTTTGATGAATTTTTATGCTCCTACAAAGTGGGGAGCATATAGCGTTGCACTTGTCCATCGGTACGTCTGTCTGTCCGTAAGTCCCAAAATCTTGTGAACACAACTCCTCTTAAACCGGATGGCAGATTTCCTTAAACTTCCAGGGATGAACAACCTTAATGTGTAGATGGCAGGAAAGGAAAGAATTTTTGCTGCGACCAAATTTAACAGAATTATTGCCCTTTGTTGATTTTTTCACTATATACCATATAGAAATTTTGTGAATGCAACTCCTCTTAAACCGGATGGCAGATTTTGCTTAAACTTCCAGGGATGAATAACCTTAATGTGTAGATGGAAGAAAAGGAAGGAATTTTTGCTGCGACCAAATTTTAACAGAATTATGGCCCTTTGTTGATTTTTTCACTATATACCATATAGAAATTTTGTGAACGCAACTCCTCTTAAACCGGTGCACATCTGCACAGTGAGGGCATCCATGTCCTTTGGACACAGTTCTAGTTATCTCTGTAACCTGCCCAAAAATAAGTGGCTAAGACTGCTTTCTAATAGAGAGAGAGAAAAACCCCAAGTTTATGAATTGTTATATTACAATTAAGTAAAGCTCATAATAAAAAATAATGTAACTTAGGCATTTCTTTTACTCTGTAACGTTTTCTTTTCAGGATGGTTACAGACGTACAGCTTGCAATCTTCGCTAATGCGTTGGGCGTGACATTGTTCCTTCTAGTTGTACTATACCATTATGTGTCAGTCAACAGTATTAAGAAGGACTAATAGAATTTTATCGTTTAATTCCATGTAAGTCTTATAAAATATCCTAATATTCATGCATATGATAATAATTTAGGGCACAACATAATTATTTACCTTTATTGTAAAGTTTCTTATCAATTGAATTACAGCTTACTTATGGAGAAAGAAGTGATGGTTAACTACAGTAGAACTTCGGTAAGTCGAAGTTGGAGGGACTTGTGTAAAAACTTCGACACATCGGGACTTCGACTCAATGAATCGGTCTGAATTTCATGACCAAATTTCAAAACCCGTGACTAGCCCTATTTATAAGATCTATAAAGTAACCTATTCATGTTTTCTTTCATTCATTAATCTGATATTTTACATTATACAATGATAAATAATGACAGCGTTAAGTAACTTTTCACGGCTAAATTGATTTGGACTACCAGTTGACGTATACAATAAAGTTACAAAAGGAGTAACAATACGTAAGGGCAATAACTAAACCAGCTTATAGTAATTATTTTTGCGTGTGATTATCACGCGACACTGGGTCACGGAAGTACTCAAATGATAGTTCTTACTGTTTACATGATTGCACTTTCAAATACCGCTAATGCAATTAAAATAGTAACGATTAAAGCATTTTTTTCACACATTTAAACGCATACAAAGGCTGTTTGAACACTCGGCTGTGTAATTAACACCTGTCACTAAAGTTGCTCTGAAATCGTCTCCGCGGCCAGAAAAGGTGTGAAAAATGTCTCGAGATCGAAGGTGTTAAAATAATCGAAGGACTTCGACTTATTTGTGGTAAATTGTTCTAGATTTATTCTATAGGGACCACGAAAAAAACTTCGACACATCGAAAAATTCGACACATAAAATCTCCACTCATAAATAGGTTTTGATAAGGAATATATAAGGAAAAAAATCGGGACTTTCATTTTACTTCGACACATCAAGAAAATCGACTAATCGAAGTTCGACTTTAAGAAGTTCTACTGTAATTTCATCAAATTTCTTTTTAAATTTGGTATATTTTGACATTAAATTTTGCTTTGCTCTTAAAAGGATATGAGATGATTTAGATCAACAAAAATATCAGTTCACAAACATTTAAGATAAGATAAGGTAACTGCTTTCGTCTTTTCATACATTTTAAATTCATACATTTGTATCCAGCAAATTTAAGTTTCATGTCAGGAACTTTGCATGTTTACGGATAATACATTGTAGAAAGAACACTAAGATTAATCATGGTCTGGTGCGCATGTACATCATCCGTAGAGCGTAAGAAATTAAGCTCCCACCTACTAGAATATTCTCTTCAAAACATTTTGGGTTCCTTTGGACAATACTAAGACTTACTCTTGAATTAAGAATTTTTTTTTCCAAGCTAATCTAGAGGTACAATCAAACTTCTTCAGTTACAGCTTCGAAATAAGCGCAACGAGTTGACTAATCTATTGTGACCGGAAGTGCACCGTGAAGCTGTAACAGTAAATATTTGTTAGTATCTTGGTTTAGCTAGGAAAATCCCACATTTGCCAAGTTCCGGATAACATCTATTTTTTATGGTTGCTGGGTTTCACTAGCTGTTCATCGCATTGGGTTTGAATCTGGCCAACATATCCCAAACTGTAATGTTACGGGGCTTTTTCCACAGGAACATGTATGGAGAAGTGGGATGATAATTTTGGGGACATTAACACTTCTCTGAAAGGGAAATAATTTTTTGTAAGTAAACTGCATTATTTTAAAGAATTTGCAAGAGGAAAGATGCCTGTAATTGGCCGACCCCTGCTAAAGAAGGAAAAAGTCTTGATGTAAGGATTGTTAATCCATTTTCAAACTTTTCAAGAACCTTTAAGCATGAATCTGGAGGCATACTGCATGGAGAACAACCCAGTCAAGCTGGAAAGTACATGTAGCTATATGGCCTTTACCATGCCAATATTTATTTAAAAGTAACCAAATGTAACAGTTAAGCTTGGAAATTTTCTTATTATCTATGAAATATTTTTTATAAAAAACATATAGATAGATATTGTTTTTTTTTAATTTGTAAGTAAACACAATGGCAACATTTCTTAAGGTAGTCTTACTTTAATGCTTTTCTGCCAAAAAATTCTAATATCAGCCAACATTGCAGCGAAATTGGTTATTTCCGTAATGTTTTTTTTCAAAAATCTTGAACATTAAATTATTTATAATCACTAAGCCTTTATTTCGCATTGTACTAATGTCAGGTTATAAACAACCTGCAACCCTGGACCGATTTATTACGATATTAGCCTATGTTAGACTTTTTTTGCAGGAAAGCATTACAGTAAGACTACCTTAATGATACATCAATTGTATGGATAATTTAAGGCTTGTTAAGGTCCACCCCCCCCCCCCCCCCCCCAAAAAAAAAAAAAAAAAAACAACAACAAAAAAACCACACTCGCACACAAAAAAGATTTTTTATATATTTTTTTGGTCTCTTGTTACAATTTACAGATAACTACTCCTTGACCATATAACAAAACTGTCTTAAATATAATAGTGATGAATAGGTACATGATAGGGTATTCTAACTAGACCCGCATTTTTCCCTATTGAAGAACCGCAAGTGTGTGTTATTATGCAATGAAATCACTGTTTGGCGTTCTATATTTAGACATGTGATGTAATCATTATACATGTGATATAACCACTATAAAATCCGACGCGTTGACAATAAGTATAGAAACAAATCAGGCGCAATTTTGCTTAATTTGCTTAATATCCAGTACGGCAGCATTTATTTGTTGATGTCATGTTAGAATCGAAATAATATATCCAAATCAGTGATTCTATCGCTTGATAACATCACTGTTTGTCGTTCAGATGCGCATCATTACATCACTCAGGCTATGCCCTCGTGATATAATTCCTCACATCCGAATTCCAAACAGTGATGTTATTGAGTGATAAAATCACAGTTTGGGATATATTATTTCTTAAATATAATATATCCCAGATTACAATAAATTGGATGGTTTTTGATGTTTTTTCTTCTTTTGTTTTCAGTTTGTAAATAGCTTAATCATGGCAGTACACGTAGTGCATGGATGGATGTCATTATCATCAAAATCACATCAAGACAGAAGCAGAAAACATTTTCCAATAATTCATCAATATTTTGAAAATTAACCAAAAATTGACAATCCTAAAAACTGAATAGAAAGAATAAATTTCTTGTAGCTGTGAATAATACTTAAAGAACTGGAAAAATGTTGAAATTTGATTTAAAAATTGATAATGGATCATGTTTTGTCATTTGCATGGGTTGTATTTATGGATTTAAATTGTTTAAAGTAAAAACATCTTCACAACAGTTCATAATTATGTATTGGAAATGATGTAATATTATTTATTATAGTAAAAGAATAAAATGTGATGTCTTTAACTAGTTATAAAGTGCTTATGTTCTTACGCTCCCAAACGGTGAGCATATAGTCGCCTCTTTGTCTGTCAGCTATTCTTGTCCAGGATATAACTCTGAAACAACAAGAGGTATCAACATGAAACTTTGTATATAGATAGATCTCATTAATTAGTTATGCAGTGCACCAGAACTCTGTATTGCCTAATTTTGGAGTTATTGCCCTTTGTTAATTTTTATACTTTGAACTTTGTCCGGGACATAACTCTAAAACTGTAAGAGATATCAACATGAACCTTTGTAGGTAGATAGATCTCATTTGTTAGAAGTGCATTGCAAAAGTACAATAAATGTGCCTTGCTTAATTTTGGAGTTATTGCCCTTTGTACATTTTTACACTTTGAACATTGTCCAGAATAAACAAATGTAGTTCTGAAAGTATAATAGATATGAACAAGACACTTTGAAGGTAGATAGATCTTATTGGCTAGATGTACAAAGCAAAAGAACCATAACTTCGCCTTAACCAATTTTGAAGTTATTGCCCTTTGTTCAGTTTTACACTGAACTTTGTCCGGAACATAACTCTAACATAACAAGAGGTATATTTTTCTGTGTCCAAAACCTATTCGGGAGCATCATCCGGTTCAACCCGTTCTTGTTTTTTTAAGGCTTTCAAACTCGAATAAACTTTCTTTTGCAACCAGGCAAACCTTCATACCCACATACTGTTCACAGTTGGCTGGAAGACTTAATTTTTTCATTGAAAATTTCAAGGTACAGTTGTCTAACATAATATAGGTTAATATATGCAAAGTCAAGGTCCCCAGATATGAAAAAATGTACATACCAAGCATATCTTCTACATGTATGTACTTTAGAATTACTTTATACAAATATTCACCATTATGAGGCGTAGCGGTTCACACAATGACTTGACTGGGTCACACTCTGTGGTTAGATGTAATGCTTTTCCATCAAGAATATATTTAGGAGTTATAACATAATTTGGTGTAAATGTGTACCATTGTGAGCAAATTATTGCACACAAAATTCTGGTATTTAAGGTCAAGTTCACATTGCAGAGGTAAATGGCGGATACTACAGGGATCAGTGATAACATGTTTTCTTCTGATAGCCATTTGCATGCTGTTGCTTCTTTGTAGCAGGAACCTGAAAATCAGTAACATGGAAAAACGCCTGAGCGGTGAGCTATTGTGAACCCCCATTGTCCGTCGACGTGTGTCGTCGGCAATTACTTTCTGAAACCAATGACAGCACAGTAACCAAACTTTACAGGAATGATCCTTGTGTGGTCCCCTTTCAACGTTGTTCAAATGGTTCCTGTCTGTTGCATAAGTAGGTCATGGGGCAAGAAAAGTTTCAAAAATGAAAGTTTAAAAAACCTTCTTTTCTGAAAGTTTAATTGATTTCATTTAGTGAAAACTTTAAAAAAAAATCTTCATGTCTGAGGGTACAATGCTTAGAGCATATTATAATTTATAGGTCCTCTACCATAGTTTTTGAAATTTTGACCCAGATTTTTACAAGTGGCCTACTTTCTTGTTAGTCCTTTGATG